CTTCCAAAATGTCCACTTTTTCGCATTAAGTATTGCTCTCGTGACTACCAGTAAATCAGTAGTATGAGATTTATTCACCAAATTTCGTTTAAGCTTATGAAGGACTGGTAGAAGAACAATTTTCCCACAAATGATATGAGAAGAGCTGACGTTTCCATTCAATTTGACATAGGCTTGCTTTCCAAAAAGTTGTTCTCATCCCGGTTGAGGTGGACTGCAGTTTCGACCTCGCAGCGGGAGTCGAACCGAACTTTTGGGAAGGCAAGGCAATGTGAAATTGAATAGAAACGTCAGCTCAACTCATTTCATTGTGGGAAAAGTCTTCTTCTACCACTCCTTCATCACCTTAAATACATCTCATGTCCACTTTTTGTTGAGCTGACTTCCATTTCGAGGCAAAGTTTTGCGTGAAGAGATTCGAAGGTGGAGTCCACCAGAAGACGACGGCAGATTCGGCCTGACCAGCTGTCGATTGACTTTACTGGAACATTCATGCTGACGCTGTTTCTGAGGCAATGTCCTTCAATTCCGGTGAACAGTTGCCAAGCTTCATCATCATCAGAGCAAACAGAGTATCATCATCGTCACAACCAAATTGAAGCTGTCAAGTCAAGAAAACTCTGCCGTCGTCTTCTGGTCGAATCGACCTGCGAATTTCTTCACCAAACACTTTCACACGAAATGGAAGTAAGCTCAACAATTACGGAAAGTTGACCCTCGCAACCAAAAGCAAATATGGTACATAAAAATAAGACATTGTAAGTAATATGAGATTCATTCACTTTATTTTGTTTAAGATGATGAAGGACACCTGCTGGGGATGTTGCAACCAAAATGAAGCTAATGAGTCAAGAAAACTCACCGACAAATCCTTAAAAAGTGGTACACATACTCTACATCTGACCTCTTCGATCAAGCATAAAGTGATTTGGTTAGTTACGGTCATTTGTCAACTTCGATGTCTGTAAGTGTGTCTGACTGTGTATGTGTATGTGCCTGTTTGTGTTCGCTTATGCTCGAAACCCGCTCAACCAATTATGCAACAAGCGATTCTCGACTCGTTAACTTCCATTTGTTTGTGACGATGTTACCTCGCTCTGATGATGTCCGTCACATGACGTACGAAAGCTTACCACCTTTTCACCGGAATCGAAGAAGATTGCCTCGGCAACAGCGTCAGCATGAATGTTCCAGTCAAGAGGAATCCGCTGTCGTCTTCTGGC